TAGTGTGTGTGTATGGTGTGTGTGTGTGGTATGGTATGAGTGGTGGAGTGTGTCTGTGGAGTGTGTGTATGTGTATAGTGTGTGGTGGAGGTTGTGTGTGTGTGTGGTGGGGGGGGTGGCAGGGTGTGTGTGCGGTTGCAAGGAGGAGACCCCCTCCCTCCAGCCCTGGGGAGAAGACCCACCCCCAATCTGGACCCAGGGGGCACACTGAACACACAGAATGGTGACTCACTCCATCTGGCCACAGGGCAGGAAAAAACAACAAGACTGAGCACAGAGTGGCACAGCTGGGCAAGTTCTCCACTAACAAAGGACTGAAAGGCAACAGGAGATGAGTACTGTGAGCCGCTGCTTGCAACAGAAGAGCACAGAAAAACCCAGGCTTGTCAGGGTCTCAGGACAGGGTCGGGGGTATTTACCACGAAGGACCCCAGCCAGGGGAGGAGGACAGCGCCATGCTGTCCCTGGCAGACCTCACAGACCCTCTGCCTTTCAAATGACTCCCACAACTCCCACGGAAGCTGCCATGAAAGGGCCCAAAATGTCCCCTTCACAGCTTGAGGAGAAAGAGAGCATAATTTCAATTACGGTCCCAGGCTGTCAGAAACATCAAGTTATTAATCTCCTTGTGGCAAATGTGAACCGGGACCTGCTTACACAGCCAATTGAGCATGCTCTAAATTAGTGTTCTCAGGTAATTGATTCGGCTGCCAGCCCCACGCCAGCCAGCTACAAGCTGGTTACGCCACTAACATTAAATAATACAAGGTGGTAAAATGGATCGCCTGATTGGGCCTGCAGTCAGAGGCTGTTAGCACCCGATTTACCCAAACATTAATGTCTTATTGGTTTAACACAATTTACTACACCTCAATTGTGGAAAATGATTTTCATTTCCTCTGCACCCCCCTCACAGGCACAGCACAGAGGAGGAGGTGTCTTAATAAATGCCATCAGCTCACTTTCTTTTTTTCAACATGCCCTCGAGATTTCATAACAGACCTTTGATAATAAAACAACAAAAAAAGATGAGGCTTACAATTAGGTCTCCCGGCCAGCATCTCTGGCGTCTGAGCATCATTGTCTTGGCGGCGTGCCCTCCTTCAAGAAAATCAGCCCCGTCTCCTGCCCACTCCCTACCCCGCCCTGCCTCCAGTCCTGACTTGCAGGAGTCCCTGCCCTTCCTGCCCTGCATGCCTCTGCGAGGCTGGGGCGGGCCATGCTCCCAGCAGAACGTCTGGCAGGTTCCAAGGATGCTCTTCTAGCCCAGTGGGTTGGCGGCCTACCTGCGTATCTGGCTGCCCTGGACCTTCTGGGCATCAGTGTGGCCTGTGTTAAAAACTCCACGCCCTGTGGGGAACTACCACCTGCTTTAGACGAGCTTTTATATTCCCCACCTAGTTAAGAAGAGGATGCTCAAGTTCACAGTGGCATAGGAGACAGCAGAAAAATAGCTCAGGACATTCCCTTCTCTCTCCTGTGCATTTATGTAACCCACCCACACCTATTTCCTGACGCCAATTACGGGGTAGACACTGGATAAACGAGACGGGGCCTCCAAGAAGCCTCCAGGCTCACGAGGACACAGACCACAAAACTGTGTCCCCGAGCTCCCTAGGGAGGCAGCAAGAGGCAGAGAGACGTCGGCCCACCTCACTGCTGCAGATGCCCCCAGGGGCTCTGGCTGCTACTGGTAGTCGGGGTGCCCTCCTCAAATCTGGCCAGGGTCCCCCCCAAGATGCAACAATATCCCAGGACAACCATCTTCCCACCATCTTTGGGGTGGCAACACCCTCTGCCCTGAAAGGTCACCCCACCTACTGTCCTTCAGGAATAGACTTTGTCCCTTGTTCTCATCACCTCCGCCTTAGCTTTTCCCTGGAGCAGTCCCCAACCCCATCTCCAACTCAGAAAACCCCTGCCCTTGCTCTCAGGGACCCACAGATCAGACGGTCCCCTGCTGGGCTGAGGCCTGGGAGGGCAGGCACTGTGTCCCCTCCCCAGGCACAGCTCCCCTGGCCAGCCACAGGGTGGGTGTGCACACTTGGCACAGCGAGCTGAGTTGATGCCACTTAGCATCCTCAGGGTGGCCGCTTCTGGCCGAAAGCTTCAGGCTCGTCTCTCCAAGAGCCGCCCTGATCCACAGAGGAGGCAGCAGGGAGGCCAACGCGGGGAAGGGGGTGTAGGGGACGTGAACGGTCTGAAGACAAAGGTGAGATCTCAGAGCTCAGCCAACAAAGAGACCCTCCTTCAGACAACAGCCAACGCAGTGTGGAGACTTCGGATCCAAATGTGAGCAAACCAACTCAAATACGGTGGTTTCAGCTGATATGCACTAGACATTGATGATACCAAGGAATTATTGTTAATTTGCTTAGATGTGCTAATGACACGGTGCTCACGCAAAGGAAAAATTATCCCTATTAACTGAGCACCTACTGATTACTTACAGGTGAAATGATGTGATGCCTGTGATTGGTTTTAAATACCCCAATGAACAAAACTAAACAGAAAACCCCGATGGGGACTTCGAGGTTCACTATACTATCCCCTTTTGTTTTCTTTTGGATATTTGAAATTTCCCATTAAAAGGAAAAAAAAAAGACCTCCATTGCCTGGGGTTGGGGGTAAGGAGCCAGGGTAAGCATTCTGAGGGCCCCGGCCCCCGACCCCGAGCTCACACAGGCCCGTGCAGACTGCAGCAGAGTCGGGCTCTGGGACACACGGCTGGAGGCAGTTCAAGGCCCTCCCAGGAGCCACCTTGGGAGTTGGACTCCCTGCAGCTCGGGGCACCAGGCAGCCAGCATGCAGCAGACGGATGGGCTCCACGCTGGGGCAAGCTGGTCCTGCTCCAATTTCTGGGTTATTTTTATTTGAGGCATCAGCCGTGGGTCACTATGGGCCACGTCAGTTGGAAACAGATTTCTGGGGCAGTGCCTATCCGACGGACCACTGCCTGGCCCACCTCCCCGGTAGCCCCGCAGAACTCTTCCTGTCCCAGATCTTCAGGGGGTGAGCAGGGACCCTGGGAATACCAGAGCAGACACTGCATTGCAGCAGGAGACCACGTGGAGGCAGAAGCTGGGCCGCCTCCGCATGCCCGTCCCCATCTTCCTCAGCATGACAGGGCTGAGTCTTTGAGGCAGCACTTGTTCCAGGCCCCCTCCCGGGCGCCAGAGCAGCAAGGGCCTCGTTCACCTCTCATGGCCCAGGATAAGAGGAGAGAAACACAGAGGCTCCCTGCTCAGGACTCCTTTCAGGTTCGACTCTGACCAAGCCACGTGATGGTGAACACAAACGCCCACACTGCCCGCTGCTGACTCCGTCGGCACCCTGCCCGCACCCCGCACTGACACAGCGGGCAGGCCAGAAAGGCTGGGAGGGGGACGTGGAGCCAGAGCAGGCCCTGAGGCAGCCGGCGTAACCTGGGCCCTGCAACGGGGGGAAGGGGCAGCAGCACCAAGCTCTTACAGGGCCAGGTAGGAAAGGGCAGCCAGGAGGGGGGAGGTAAAAGGTGAAACTCCTTCTGTACTCACACTTCTGACACCAAAATGTGGGTTTTCCACACCAAACAGTTCTCCAGTTCTCTGAAGACACCAACTGGGTGTCCTACATTTTAATTCTGACACTAACTGCCAGAGTTGGTGAGACCCCACAGGTTAAGGGCTCAGTCCCACAACACTGTCCCCACTCCAGACACCAATCACAAGTCCGGGCCTCCCGTACTTCTGACTGATTGGCTATAAATCAGGGGTTCCCACGATGCCCCCTTGGGTTTGATAATTTGCTAGAATAGCTCACGGAACTCGGGAAAGCACTTTACTTACTATTACCACTTTATTATAAAGGATACAGCTCAGGAAGAGCCAGATAAGGAGAAGCACAGGGCAAGGTATGAGGCAAGGGGTGCAGAACTTCCATGCCCTCTCCAGGCGTGCCACCCTCCCAGCACCTCAAAGGGTTCACCAACCCAGAAGCTTCCATTACATAGGCAGGACTAACTGAATCACTGGTCAGACCTCAACCTCCAGCCCCTCCCTCTCACTGGAGGTCAGAGGGTAGAGCCGAAAGTTCCAACCCTCTAATCACTAGGTTGGTTCCTGGGCAACCAGTCCCCATCTTCTGAGAGTCACTTCATTAGAATAAACTCAGGTGTGGTTGAAAGGGGCTTATTACAAATAACAAAAGACGCTCTTCTCACCTCTATCCCTGAGGGAATTCCAAGGATTTTAGAAGCTCTATGACAGGAACTAGGGCAGAGATCAAATACAGATTTCTTATTATGTCACAGGGGGAGAAATGGCAGCCTCTTCAGTGTCCCCTCCCCAGGGGAGCTTCCAGGTGGTGCGGTCACCGGTGGGAGACCCTGGAATGGGGGCCTCCTGCCCCTAGACATGGGTGGAAGGCAGCCACTGGGGCAGTCTGGGTCTGACCCCAGGGCTTCCTCAAGCCATGGGCAGCAGCATGCTGAACCCTGGGTCCTGGAGCAGGGCTGAGGAACTGGCCAGGCCACACTGATCATGCTGGGGAAGCACTCCAGGGGGCACTGGCTCCCTGCAGGCCTAACTGGAGCTCTCCAGAACGCTTTATGAGCCACTTAACCATCCCGAGACCCAGTTGTCCAAGCACAGCAGACATAATGGCAGTGTTTACACATAAAAATGGCAAGCTGTTTTACTAGCAGCTTTCAGAGTCACAATAGCAGCTACTCGGTAAAGTTTCCTGCAAATTGCAGAAACAAAGTCCGAAAGTGGAATGATGGGGCAGTAAACCATGTGGAAAAGTAATCAAAGACCATTACCATCAAACACTCTGCCAAGAGCCAGGGAGGGGGCCACAGTCAGAGGAAAAACCTCTTTGCCTGCAATGCTGAAGCCTCGCTCGTAATCCCCGCTCAGTCTGCACGTGTCGCCACGGAGCTTCATCTGTTACTTGCTCAGGGAACATAAATTACTGGGTTTCACATTTTAACCTTTACCCAGAGAAACACAGCAGCTTACCTTTCCATCTCATATTCTTTCATTCCCACTTTTACAGCCTTCATTACCTGGAGGACGGATATTAAGCAAAGACATTTGTATTAAGCAGATAAGTAACAGTGCCTTATAAATAATGTATGGCACTTTTTCAAAAGAATCCTTTCTTTAAAAAAAAATAATCATATGTGCACACAGTGGTGCAGAAATGTGACAAATTAGAACTTTTTTAAAGCTCCAAAAGCCACACGGTTTATTTAAACCACTCTGGAGCACTTCCACTTAGAGGCTGATCAACACCCAGCACAGAGCTGCCGCCCAGGTGGCGGCAGGCGGAGGGCAATAAAGACCTAACGAAGATGCATTTAGTGGACACTTAATGCTCGGAAGGCTATGACAACTGTCACTAAAAGGTTTCCTTTAACTTTCATAAAACACAGAGAAAATGAACTCATACGAGAGAGTCTGTTGCCCACAAATGACCCTTGTCTGTCTCCTATCACAAAGCTGTGACTGTCACTAAGCAAGCTCCTGGTGACCTCAGACACCCCGAACGTCCTTCAGGAAAGACAGAAGCTTATTTGCTCTGGCTCCTCAGATAAAGTGGGACAGTCTGGGGAAGATCTACGTGAGGACGTTCTCAGAAAACGGATGACAGCATCAAATGTGCTTGAATCACGGTTAAGGACCAAACATTCTTTACAAGGAGCTGGGACTGCCGGAAGGCCAGGAAAGAGAGCCCTTCCTCCTGGAAGTGGTGACTTCTTTCTGGGAAATTCCCTTAAGGTGAGGACTTGGGGCAGAGCCTCTGCTGTCCATGCCCTGCCCCCACTGGGGAACAGAAAAGAGCCATCACCTTGTCTCCGGGCTGAAGTGACACTTCCTGCCTACTGGAGTGACACTGGGGACTAGTGCCGCCCTGAGACCGTCCACCTCGATCCTGCTCTCTTGCCCCACACGGAGCAATGCTGCTTGCCTGACCCAGCCAGAACAGCGCATCCAACGTGCCAGAGCCCAGCGTACCTCCTGGTGGGCCTCGCTGGAGACTCGATTGGTGTAGCGCAGAACCTCCAACTCCATGTCCGTCTTAAAGACCCGGCTGCAGAGACAGAAAAACAAAGCAGCGAGTCAGTGACTTCTGGCAGGGGCTGGCTGGACCCCTCCAGGGAGACCTCGGGGCCCACCACACCCTGCCCAGCCTGGGAAGTAGCACAGGGCCAGGTCGGGCCCAGCCAGGTGCAGATGGGCTGCCTGGGCGTGGGGGTGGTGGCAGGTGGGCCACTGAGCCCCGGGAGTGACAAGCTGCACTCAGCACACCCGTCCTGACCCAACGCAGCCTCAGGTGGGCAGCTATTTCCACTTACAAGATCTGGAAGCCACTCTGGGTGGCGCAAGAAGTCCAGATTCTGCAGCCAGACACTCCTTGCCTCACTGAGACTGTTTCCTCATCCATAAATGGGGATTAAAATCTACACAGTGAGGCTGTTGGACCTGAATCTTAAGTGTGCTGACTCCCAGGGCTCTGCCCAGGTGGCTGAAGAGGGCCCCCATTTCCCCCTGACCCCCACCCACCTGCCCAGGGGCAGCCCAGGAACACCATGTGACTCAGGCCCCTGCCTGAGACGGGGTGGAGGGTGGGAGCGGGAGTAGGGAGGTGTGGCCCCTTCCAGCTGTGGGTGCAGGTATGAATGTGGGAACAGGCCGTCTGCAGAGAAGCAGGAGACCAGGAGCACACAGGGGAGACACAGCAGTGAGAGAGCGGGGCTACGTGGGGCAGGCAGGCACAGCCAAGAGACTGCTTCCTTTCCAGACTCAGCTGGGCCTCCTGCAACTGGACTCCAGGGGGTGCCTGGGGTCCTCACAGTGAACTCATGTCAATTTGCCCAAATTTGGTTAGGTTTCTCCTCTTTGTAATCAATCTCGTCCCCAAGTAAGACTCACCTAGAGAAGCTAAACAGATATTTGTTTTCTACCTCCACCATTTTAAATAAGCAACTCCGGGTCACGAGTTTTTACGGGGCAGCCAGGCCCAGTCATTAAGAGCGCCGAGTCCTCAGTGCATCCCTCACGGCCAGCTCTGCTCCCTATATGGGAGGGGATCCCCTTCACCAAAGCACCCACATGGCTCTCTCTCCTCTCACACTGCGAACACACTCAAGCACCCTTGAGATCAGCAGAGCCGAATGTCTGAGGATGGCAGACCAGCGCCTGCCCCTCTGCCCACAGTGTGCCTCTCGTCTAGTCACCGTCCGTCCTCTGAAGCCTGACCACCCTGAGCTGGCCTCAGCCAAGACGGGCTAAGGATGGACCTCCATCAGAGGCAGCGAACCCTCGGGGACTTCACAGAAGCAGCCCGAGCGAGCTACTGACTCACCCCATCTCCATGGTGCCACCTGGCTAGGACCGCCAGCCACCTGTCATCAGGAAGGGAAGAGGGCATTCTGCAGTACAGTGACACCCTCCTAAGAATGTAAAACCTTCTGGGGAACGTGGAAAAGACAAACCCCAAGCCCCGTGAGCTTTTTCCAAGTGAATATCCTTTGTTTCTTAAGGAGGCAGACCCTGAAGCCTAATAGCTTGCTCTTTACCATCATAAGGGTGCCTCCGATTCCACATCGGGGCACTGGGAGCAGTCCCACCTGGGGAACAGAGGGCTAGGGTCAGAGCCATGGGTGGGACTCAGATGAGCAGCTCAGGCTCCTGAGGTCCAAATCCACTCAGGGTAGCCTAGCAGCCCCTGGCACTTCGTCTCCACAGGCACCCTGCTCGGCACCAGCCCGAGGAACTGGTAAGCAGGGAGCAGACCTCTCTGTTCTCGAATGCAGCAATGACCAGAGTGACAACCCAGGTGGTAACCAGGCCTGCACCCACTCCCAGCCCTCTGCCTCTCTATCCAGCTTAGATCCCCGGGCCAGCCCTCTAGCCACCACTCTTGCCAACATTTTAGACCCCTAGGCCCTGTGGCCATCCATCCACACGGGCTTGGCCAAACTCCCACGAGGAACAAACCAGAGCGCGTCTGCTGCGTGCCTGCTCCTGGGCCCTGAGGGCTACGGGGAAATCCCAAGGCCGGGTGGCTGGCATAGCAGGCTCCTAGTCTCCAGCCTCACCCGGCCTCTGCAGGACCCCAGTTCTGCCATGAAATGCAGAGGGGCATGCATGGGGCTACTCTCAGCTTTCTCCACCTTCCCAATACCTCTTAGCACACCACCACCCTCTTTCTCAGTAGATGAATGAACTCATCTCCTACTTGAGGGAAAACACAGAAGCCAGCAGGTGGGTGCACTCCCCCCTCTTCTCCAAACTCCCAAGCCTTCCCTCTCCCCTCATCCTCTCCTCCCCTTACAAGGAAACCGGTGCCCTCTTACCGATGAGGCTCAGCCCCCAACACTCACACACCTGGGCTCAGATCCCAGCCCCAACCTCCTCCACCCACCTGCCCCTCTTACTGAAAGCTCCATGAGCACAGACTTACCTCCTCCTCCTCCAGCCAAGCTTTATCCCCCACAACCCCACACATTTCTGGAAAGGAAATCCTAACAGTCCTCGCCTCCAGAAGAAGAGCAGCTTTTACGTTCTACCTCAAACCTCTTCTCCATCTCTTCACCTCCCCTCTCCCTTCTCCCTTCAGCCCCCACCACTCTGCCAGCCGCCCTCTCACCAATACGTGGGACGATGATGACCCCAGGCTGCCAAATCCAGAGGCATTCCATGACCTCTCAGGGGAAGAGGCACAGTGACCCCTGTCTCCTCTGGCATGCGCTCGCTCAGCTGCTCCCCCTCCTCCCCTCCCTGACAAGCCCTCCCCTCCCTGCCCGTCAGCTTTACTCTGCACCTGCTCCCAACACCCCCGTCTCTGGCACAGGCCTCCCAGCTGCACTTCTACTTGCAGGTCTCCCAGGCACTTCGAACTCAGTGTGGCAGAAACTCCCACCCACTCACGTGCCCCACCTCAAACCACAGCTCTGCCATCGCCCTGCTGCTTACAGAGACCTGGGCATCCTCCTGGACACCTCTCTCTCGTCCGTCCATTGCTCCCACATCCAACTGGTCACCAAGGGCTGCAATTCCGCCCCACAACCTCTCTCAGACCTTTCGTCTTTCTCCATCCAGACCCCACTCCCTCCAGCCTGGACAACCTCTTCTGGCCTCCAGACCCCAGCTCCGTCTGCTCCCTGACAGCAGCTGGGGATCTTCAGGAAATGCAAAGCTGATCGTGCTTTCCCTTGCTTAAAGCCTTCCACTGGCCTCTAGATGTCCTCAGGATGAAGTGAAAAGTCTGCTCCGTGACTCACCCCACCTGGCCCATCTCCACCACCCACCCCCACTCACCCCCACAGCCGACTCCTCTGCCTGGAACTGGCTCCTGCCCTTTCATCCTTGCTCCCACCTGAAATGCACCTTTCTCGGGGCGGGGGCGGGGGGGGCTCCCTCTATCCCCCCAGCAGGCTAAGTCCCCTCTCCACGTTCCTTGGGCAGTCTATGGGAGTCCTCAGTAAACTCTCACACTTGTCATTCCTTTTCATTTATGTCTCCTCCTAAAAGCCCATAGCCCTGGAGGGCAGGGTTCCTCAGCCAGAGAGTGCCCAGCCCAAAGCAGACACACAGTAAGCACGGGTTAGAAATAGTATCTGGGCACTGTACCAAAGCTGGAAAACACCTTACTTCCAACAAGGAGAGATAACGGCTCATCTCAAAAAGGGAAGAAGGCCTCCTCCACTCCACCCCAGGGGAGTTCACCAGGTCAGCGTGGGACGCAGCTCAGCCCGGCCTCCCCAGGCCTCAGCACCCAGACTCCCACTGTCTCGCCCCCAGCCACACAGGCAGCCCCAGGATCTGAACCCCAGGAGCCCGCCGCACAGGCTCTCCACTTGGCCTCCTCCCTGTGGCTTGTGTACCCTCGTTCTGGAGATGAGCCGGGAAGAGCACGCCCTCAGCCCAAGGAGAAAGGAGACACAGAGCCCCAGCCACACTTTTCCCATCAGAGACGATAAGCATGTTCAGCCATCGAGGCCCAGAGTCCTGCTTTATTTTCTAATCTGACTTTGGAGAAGATGGAAAACGAGGCCTCCAGCTGGTTTACTTAGGACTTACTCTTTTAGTTATGTTAAAAAAAAAAAATCAAACTGAACCAGGGCAAATTATCCCAGAAAGGCAGTTCTCTGACAAAACCAGCCCGGCTGAGCACTGGCCTGGCTCAATTTAATCCAAGCTTTAAAGGCCCTAAAAGTAGACGTCTGCCTCGTGCCGTCTTACCCAATTATCCACAGGGTACGCTGGGCCTGAAGTCTCTCTTGCCCAGGTGCCAGGCAGCGTAGCCTGGCTTACTTATCTCCATGACACAAGCACCAGAACCTGTTTTTTAAGATTATTGCAGAAAATAATAAGACTTCCCAGCATTCTGCACAGTTTCTCTCCACCTTCAGGAAGAATTCACTGCTCTGAATCTGAGAAGGTTATTTCTATTACTTCTGAGCACAAAAAGGCAAGGAAAAGAGGATTCTGCCATGGTCCAGCCTCTGCAGGCCCAGCGGACCCTAGAGCGAGGGATGCTTAGTGCCACACTCAGCCCAGCCTTGTCTGGCCCAAGGATGTGTGGGGTGGTGGTTAGAAATACAATCTGTAAGATTTCTATCCCCAGGAGAGGATGAAGGCCACCTCCTCCATGAAGCATCAGAGGACCCAGGCCCGGGACAGGACAACATTGATGCCACTTAAGAAGTCTGGGCAGAAGGCAGCTCAGGCTCCTCACCCAGCAAGAGGGGGGGCCTGACGTGTGCCTGGGAGACTCAAGCCCCGAGCAGCCTCGCACAGGGTGCCCGGCTCATGGCCACGCCCGTGGGCATCACCACACCGAGGGGGCTGTTCATGTAGAAAGGCAGCACCACTGGCGGTGGAGGGGGTGGGGTGAAGGCTCCTCCTCTAGGCCCGGCCCAGAGTCCCCTGCTACAGGCTGGAAATGACAAAAACTGGCCTAGGCTGAGATTCATTTGTGCAATCTTCTTTTTTTTCCCCTTAAACAGTCACAGGTCACAAAACTGGCTCTGAGTTTTAAACCCAGAATTAAGACTTTAATTAACTGAGGTCTGAATGCTCCACTGATTAAAACAGTAGCAAGACAGGATGAAGTATTTCCAAGATCAGTCTCTAAGCGTCAAAATCCCACAGTGTTGAATAAAACCCATCTGAAGGGACAGGAATTCCACATCTCCTGGAGATGAATGTGCAGGGGATGGTTCTGTGGGAGCAGGCAAGCGAGATTCAAGACCACAGGACTCCCATGACCATACCCTCCACACCCTGAGACCTAGGGCTACAAGGATAAAAATCTGGGAATAACAGGAGGGACAGAAAAGAAAGAGCCAGATGAAATTATGCTTCCTCAGGAGGCTCAATCAGTAAGTGCTCTCAAAGACACCAGAGCCATGAGGAAAATGAGGGTTTAGCTCAGCTGTGAGGGACTGTGCCTGAGACCTGACTAGAGCCAGGCAGATGCCGGCCACGTGTAGGGAGGCCATGGAACCCGGACCTGGCCCTGCCTTCCCCTCTGCCCGATGCTCCCACATCCTGTCTCCTGCCTTCTGGTGCATGGCAGGTCAATTCTCACTCTGCCCTAGGACCCCACACTTTCCACTTGGCTTTCTCGTGAACTGAGGGTGAAATGCCAATTCATCAGCAGACAAAGACAGCAACCCTACTGGAATACTGTTCACATACACACCAAGAATCCAGGTCATCATCTACGTACCTTTTCTAATTTGGGACACATTGCCCAGGACGTAGGATCCTGATGCGCTTCTGCCCCTGAACCATCCACACCTCACCAGCTCCCGTGCACAGAAACTCGGGGAGCAGAAATAGATGTTACCCCACTGCCTGATTAATACACGCAGGACACCTTCGCTATGTGTAATTAACAGTTCTAAAACCGGCGCATGACTCAATTTAACACAGTCTCACTTAAAACCCAAGGAGGCGCACGGCAACTGCTGACAGGCTTGCTCTTCTGCGACGCTTCCAGAGGTACGTAGCTGAAACCCAAGGCCCCGAGCTATTAGACGGTACAAAAGTATCTCCTTTTATTCCTACCCTACCTTCAGATCAATTTAATCATTTACAGAACGGGAGAGCAGAACCACAGCCTAAATAACGTTAGTGTGACGCCTGCTCTTATCAAGCTTCAACTTTTGCCCTCCACATTCAAACTGCAGCACCCAGCACAAGAAGAGAAATTATCGGTTATGATCTCACGAGTGCGGGGAAGAGAGTGATTATGGAGGAATTTACAGGAAATCAGAAAGGCGCTGCTGGAGAGAATGGAAAACAATAAAGCAGTTGCAGAAAGGAAATGAATGACACCAAACCAAAATGAGAAAAGAGGCTTCCCCGCCGTGCTGCGAGAGGCTGCTCGTCACCTCCCAATCAGACAGGCTCCGGGAGAAATCCCAAGTCCCCACCCAGACGCTAACTGGGAGCTGGGGTGCATGTGGGGGGCAAGGGTGTGGTGCTGGAGGAAGCTGAGCTGCACAGCCCCTGGCACCTGCCCCACCACGCCCTGGCCTCACACAAGATCTGTTTAGGGGCTCCAGCACCCTGGCACGCCCAGCGGCCAGGAGTGAACTGAGAGAAGGCTGACACCCAGGCAGGCCCCCACCCTCCAGGGGACTCCTTGGAGCCACAAGCAGCAGCACAAAATCCTGAAACCATCAGTCTGGGCTCAGCTCCTGGCTTTTTCTTGGGCAAATCACCTCCTTGTGCCCCAGTTTCCTCATCTGTGGCATGGGGATAATCACCTACCTTATAACACAAATAAAATACTTCTTTAAATAAGGTGACATGTGTCAAGTGCTGAGTACACCACCTTGCACACAAGACGTCTCCAAAGGTGACGCCACAATTATTAAGATATGTTAGTGCTTATGCCCTCACTCAGTCCTTGAGCCGCCTGTAAAGGGGGACCACTTCTACTCTCCAGGTGAGAAAACTGAGGCTCAGTGCTATAGACCGAATATCTGTCTCCCTCTGAGATCAACACATTGAAATCTAACCCCCAAGGTGATGGTATTTGGAGGCGGGATCTTTGGGAGGTGGTGAGGCCATGAGCGTGGAGCCCTCAGGAACAGGATTAGTGCCCTTATGAAAGAGACCCCAGAGAGTGCCCTGAGAACACAGAGCGAAGAAATGAATTCCTGTTGTTGCTGAGCCACCCAGTCTGTGGTGATTGGTAGAAGTCTGGAGACAGAGGTTGGTAGAAGCATTCAAGACACAGGGGCCCAAAGTTGCATGGATGAGTCCTAACGTCACATCACAGAAAGCCGCCCCCTCCCATAAATGAGGGACCTGCCAGCCATTCCACCCAGACTCCTTCCTCCAGTGATTCGAGGAGGGCGAGGGTCATGGCTACCATGGATCTCACCGAGAATGGCTGCAGTGACCACAGAGGCCAGAGCCCACGCTATTAAAACACAACCCTGAGGCACAAAGGACAATGTGACATTTCTAAAATAGTTCTACTGCTACCAAATGCCAAATAAGTCCTTTCTGCTGCTCGCTTTAATAAAGTTGGGAAGTATTCTTATGAACACAGATCCACCTCAGGGCCTTGGAAATGTCACTAGAATTAGAGTGTGCTTGTTCCGAAGTGACGAACTAATGACTTATCCCCTAGGAGGTGATGGGGCGCATACCCAGCCACGTTCTCCAAAGCACCTGAACTGTAAGTGGCCAGGAGAGAATGTCACATGTGAGGCCTATGTGGACGTGGGCCTGTTCCTGAGCATGCAGCATTTATTCTTCTGCCAACTGGGAGCTACAGATGGGCTAGGCATTTGCTACTTCATAAAAACAAGAAGAGGCAGCTGTGAACTGGAAGGATACAGGCCCCCACCCTCACAGAGTGTGTGGCCGTGATGGGCACTGGGCCAGGCCTGCCAATAAAGCCAGGCTGGCCAGCCTGCCCGCCAGCTCTTCCCAGGGTCAGCACCGATGCCTGTCGACAGCCCTCAGATCTTCACCTCCAGCCCAGCCTCTCTCCAACTGGCACCTGCCTCAAACTCAACATACCCCAAATAAGCCCCTGATCTGCCACAGCACCTGCCCCTCCCAGCCATCCCCATCTTGGTGACACACCACTCAGCTGTTCAGGACGAAAATCCAGAGTCACCTTCAACTCCACCCTCCACTCAGCTGTCACAGCTGGCTGCTCCCAGGAGCATTTCCCTTGACTGCCGCTTACTCTCAACTCTGTCACACCACTGCCACCTGGACCCTGCAACAGCCTCCTAACTGGCAACCTGTTCCCACTCGTGCCCTACAACTGAGTCTCCAGTCTAAGGCCAAAATGGTTTTTAAAATGCAAACCTGATCCTACCATTCTCCTGCTTATATCCTTCAAAGGTTTCCCTTGGTTCCCATTTCTCCCAAGCTGACCCCATGCCAACCCTGCCCCTGCCCAGCCATCTCTCCCATTGCCCTCAGGTGCCACTTCCCCAGTGTGTGGCTCTAGGCTGGCTACACAAGGCCACCACCCTTTCTCTTGTCTCCGGCCTTTGAACAAGTGGTCCCTCACCCTGGATCATTCTCTCCTTCTCCCCCACTGTGCTTACCCCAACCTCACTAGACGACTCATACTCATCCTTCTGGTCACAGTGTTCCTAAGCTCCAAGCCTACATAAGCGAGATCTCCCAATGAGATGGTGAAACTTGACAAAATGGCCTTAGGGTCAGATGTGAGGAGTCTGCACACTTCCCGGTCAGGGGATGATGTGGCAAAGGTCCCGCTTCGCCTCTCTTCTACGTTCAGAACAAGTGCAGCCATGCAACAAATAAAAACCGTTTTGGTGCTATCAAAGGGCAACTCGATGGCTTAGGGAAAAACTGGTGGCCCATCCGAGTTGGAGGGCCACTTCTGGGGCCCACAGAGATGGTGCCCAACCTGAGAAGGTGTGTCCTGCTGCGACCTCACAGAAACCAGTTACACTGCAGGAAGGGGCTGCCCACATCAGCAAGGGAAGAAAGTAGGCAATGTGAGAACATGTGTAACAGGATGCCAACTAGTCAAGTCATATGCGTGACAAGAGGAAAACACGTTTACCCTTCTGGTAAGAGGATTATGTATGATGTTTATTTTTACTCTCTTCACTATCTACCTTAACTGAGCTATATCAGTTTGGCTTATTTATGGTAGGAGTTTTTAAAAGACTCCTAAATAACGGAAAAGATAAGAGAAATTTAATTGACATTCGAGTGACTCACGTCCTTTTGGAAAAACAGACCAACTGACAAACAAAAAACAAACAAAACAGAAGAGGCTGAGAGAAGAGGTTCTGGGACCAGCTTGTCTGAGGGGCTCTCTGAGATGAAGTGGGTGGGAACAGCAGGGTCTCTCACCATCCTGAGCTGAGCATAACAAACAGCCAAGGTGGCCACAGGCCATACTCACCACTCCACGATCTCAGGATGAAGAATGGTGTTGTTGACATTGAACCTATGGAGAGAAAACAAATCAAGCCCATTAGTTCAATGGTCTATCATCTCCCAGAAAGAAATATGTAATTCAAGACATACCAAGAGAGGGGCCTGACCAGAGAACGTACCAAACTTTAACTTCATGATGCCCTGGCCCATAGGAGGCCTGCTGCTCACTTCCTGCAGCAGACCCGGCAGTCTGAGCCATGTCCTCTAACTGTGGTCAGTTGGAGAACAAGCTGCTTAGCAGCAAAACCCCGTCCTCCAGCCTTGCTAGGCAGAGAGGACAGCCACTTCCGTGCAGTACAGCAACACATGCACAATGCTAGGCAGAGAGGACAGCCGCTTCCGTGCAGTACAGCAACACATGCACAATGCTAGGCAGAGAGGACAGCCGCTTCCGTGCAGTACAGCAACACATGCACAATG